TGGAACAAATTGGACAACTTGGTACAGACACAGGAAAACTAAGACTTCTTTGCCACCATTGCTAATTCGAAATCAATTCAATATTAGGTAAGATCCATCAAGATTTTTCATTCACTATTGCTCTAAGCATCACCCCTGCCATTTAGCTGCCCCAACTCTACACTCAGATATGCTTAAACCTTCTTTTTGTAACACAGCAAATTATATCATCATCAGCCTCAGATACAAAATAACAACAAGGAAAAATCTTCTGATTACCTTGTGTCTACGTATACACCTGAAGCTATGCGCAATGTTCAGGAAGATTTTTTTTAAACGCATTAACAGTCTATGGCAGTGATGGTGAACCTTTTGGAGACCGAGTGCCCAAACTGCAACCCAAAACCCACTTATTTATCGCAAAGTGCCAACACTACAATAAAACCTGAAAACTGAGGTTTTAGTTTGGAAAAAACAACGCACAGCCAGTCCAAACAAATATACAGATATCCCTGGCAGCGCACTGACTGGCCAAGCGAAAGCTCGGATGAGTCGCGGCTAATGAGTCGTGGCTCGTGATGTCATCACCTGGTGCTGTTACTCCTTTCTGAGCTGCACATGACCATATGTGAGCTGTTACCTGATGCTCGGCTGCTGGAGCGATGCTGGGGCGACTTGGCTCGTGTGCCGACACAGAGGGCTCTGCATGCCCACTGTGGCATGCGTGCCATAGGTTCACCACCACTGCCCTAACCCTACCCTGGTGCACTCCCCTAACCCTAATACAGGGGTAAACACCATTGAAAGGGGCGATTTTGAGAAAGCCTTCCTTGAGTAGCTTTTTCTAAACTGCTCATTATTCCTGCTCATTTTCTATACTGCTCATTATTCCATTCTAAACACATTCCAACCATCAAAATCATGCCAGGACACCTCATTTTTCTAACCCTAACCCAGTGATGGTGAGCCTTTTACAGACCGAGTGCCCACACTGCAACCCAAAACCCACTTATTTATCACAAAGTGCCAACACTGCAATAAAACCTGAAAACTGAGGTTTTAGTTTAGAAAAAAACAACTCATAGCCAGTCCAAACAAACATATATACAGTATATCCTTGACAGTGCACTGACTGGCCATGCGAAAGCTCAGCGAAGTTAATGAGTCATGGCTTGTGACATCATTGCCTGGCACCGCCACTCCTTTCTGAGCATGCGCATGGCCCCTATGTGCACTGTTATGCGATGCTCGGCTGCTGGGGCGATGCTATGGTGACTTGGATTGTGTGTCGACAGAGAGGGCTCTGCATGCCCACTGTGGTACATGTGCCATAGGTTCGCCACCACTGGTCTACGGGGAAAGAATTGTATGAATAACTAGTGTCTATAAAGAATGCTGTATCACTTTTGATAAGGTTTTAATTGCTGAAGCATTTTTTCATTTTGTACTTACCTCCAAGGACTCCACACATTTTATTTTTCAAAGTTCTCCTCTACATTCCTGAGGAAAGCTCCCGAGTTCATTGATCTTAAACTTGGACTGAAGTTACAGAGGAAGTCAGTGTTCACATTCGTTTCTTGATAAAACTTTCTGTGTTTTATTTTCAGAGTTCAATTGCTCCTTTCAGTATAGGTGATGCAAGGTCAGGGAATAGTGTACTGTACAAAAAAGATCAACTGCAGATCTGGATCCGCAGTTACACTAGTTAAACACTAGTTACACACAATCAGAATACTACCAGGAAACTAATTCAGTACTAAGCATCTCTTTCAAACCCACAAAATATATTTCCCAATAGGGTAAAAAGCCATTTACAACTGTCCATAAAATACATAATGGAAATATAAGCATATGTCTGAATGCTACCTGTGGTGCAGTTAGGTAGGTTTAAACTCTGGACTTAATTGTCTTATGGGGGCAGGAGGCTGGCCATTTATAAAGAGGAGGAGGAGGAGGAAGGAAAAAAATAGCAAAAATTAACCTGGTGTTAATTGTTAACGGGCAACTTTGGTGCTTCTGCTTTTCCCTCTTATGTTCCTTTATCTTTAGGACTTAGTCCAACAAATACAGGGCATCTTCAAACAAAGAATGGTCTTCCATTAAGAGCACATAGACACCCTACGCCTTCCCTGCTTTAGATGGTAATGTATGTTTACTTGTTTTTGTTTGTTTGTTTTTAATGTGGGAAGTCAGGTCCCCCAAGATGGTAAATATAATGCAGAAAATTAAATGTTTAAAACTACAGTGTAAAAAGTAAGCAAATAAAACCTACCCATGATGCAAAGATTTAACAGCAGATTTAAAAGAGAAACTGGGAAATTAAAATGCCTCAGAGTGAAATCACTACAGTAGAGTACTGCTAACTTCTGACTTCTCTGTCCAGAAGGATAACATGGCTGATGGTAGCAAAAGCCATTGAGAGGTCCATGAGAATTAACACAGTCACAATCGTTTTATCTTTCTCTCAGCAAAGGTCATCCCTCAAGGTGACCAAGCCAGAGGGGGATCTACACTAGAGTCCCTTCCATTTATCAAGGGGAGCTCTTGCAGCATTTATGCAAAATACATTGACCACTGTTGCCACAGGTAATGAACACAGTGCAGTTTCCACTGTGTTGAAAATGTGATCTTGTGTCACATACAGAAGGAACTGCTGGAGACGTAGGGAGAGGGGATATGTCCAGGGAAATGGCCCTTTTAATTATCTCTATATCGATAGGAATATATGCATGCAAGGGACAGCTGGTAAACCCCTGCTTTAAACCATTACTTTCAGAGGAACCATGTGACCAAAGGGCTCCATCACACCAATTTCCTTAACTTCTCCAGGGTACAAGCTGAACATTACCCACTAGCTGCACACATGATAACCTTTCTGATTTTGCCATCAGTTCTGCCTAAAACTTTTATTTTTGGTATGTCTGTTCAATCTTTTTTTACCTCCTGTAATTATCAAATTCATTGTTTACATTTCCAATGCTGATGGCAATTCCATTACAAAACATCTGGAGAACACCAGGTCGAAGAAAAGTGATATAATTATTAGTATTTTAGACCAGGAAGAGGGAGACCTATGTTCAAATCCCCAGTCAACCCTGAAGCTTGCTAAGTGCTCTAGTCACAGATTGTACGCTTGCTCTATATCAAAGGTCAGTTGTTGTGGGATTGGTTTATGAGAATAAGATGGTGAGGGAGGACCAGGGATGCTGGCTGAGCTCCTAGGAGGAAAGATGTGCAATAGATATAATACACATATATTCATACACACATTCAGGTTTTTGTGTATATTCATACCATGCATTCAGGATGGCCATACAGGTTTTTTACTAGGAAATTTGTTTTTTATGCATACCACCACCTACCCACCAATAACTGTAGAGTTTAAACACAGTTGGTGTGTCCCTACAGTATCTTAACCTTAAACCACTTGAAAAACTATCTATATATTATTATTTCTTTGACACATGCTATGTCACAGGGACAGCTCAAGCCCACTTCCTATGACAGTGCTGAATGAAAGCATCTTGTTTACAGCAATGTACTCTTTTCATTAGTAGTTTACAAACTTCATTCAAAATATTCTGTAATTTGGCTTACTTAACATTGCACTCTGCATGTGCTGCAGGTCATTCTTCACATCATGACAATGAAAAAATCCCCATAAAATAAGCAAAAAAGAGGACATCCACGAAGCAAACAGCCACTTTTAACATCTTATTTATTTATTTAAAACATTTCTATGCAGCCCCCATTGCAACAAAGCCTCGGGGCGGCTCACAAAAAATACATAAACAATAACAATATAACAATTTGAAAGAAAAAAAAACATTTAAAACCCCCGGTGCATTCTCAGCTAATTTAAAATCCTAATAAATACAATAATTTAGCAATTAAAATAAGTTTTAAATAAAAAGGTCTTAGCCTGGCACTGAAAAACAAATAATGACGGCACCAGGTGGACCTCTCTGGTGAGCGCATTCCATAGATGGGACGCCACCGCAGAGAAAGCCCTCCTCTGGGTACTCACCCTCCTAATATCATTCACAGAGGGTTCCCAGAGAAGGGCATCCGTTGCTGATCTCAAGGGGCGGGAGGGCATATATGGGTGCAAGCGTTCCTTTAGATATCCAGGTCCCAAGCCTTTTAGGCTTTATAGGTCATAACCAACACCTTGAATTGGGCCCGGACTTCAATCGGGAGCCAGTGGAGCTGACGGACAACTGGGGTTATATGAGAACAACACCCAGTCCCCATCCTGACCCATAATAACTATAGGAACTTTAATTCAAAACTTGGGACTTATTACTGATTGTTTAAATTGTTATATTTTTGTATGTAACTGCTTGTACAGTATGTTATGGTACATATTTTAGGCTTCTGAACTCTGTAAAATATCCAGAGAGCTTTGACTGTTGGACAGTATAGAACTATAAAACATGAACTAAAATAATTACCATCCTAAAATTATCATATTGCCAAAATAGGATGCCATCAAAAGACATTTTGGTAGTACATTTTGGTATGTTACTTTAATACCTTTCATGCAAAAGCTCACTCAAGTCATCATCCACTCCCTTTTCATTTTTATTTTGCTATGCTATGCTGGGGATCATGGAAAGACACACTACTTGTGAAAAAAACACAATAGAACTTAGGTTGCAAGCACTTTCCCAGTGGATGAATGATCCACTCCTGTACAGGAGACCAAAAAATGTCTGGGAGTTAGAAGGACTCTAATGATAATATGGAGTTTTTGCATGGTTACTTCATTTGAACTCAGTGTCACAGTGAGTTTAAAAGCACACACACATGCAGATTTACAATAAGGGAGATTTTTGGACTTGTGGAGGCAACATGAAGGCAATAATAAAACAGAGACTCCAAAACTGTAAGGTACTTGGAAGAATGACTTTCAGGGGCACGGACAAATTCATTGCACCAAAATGATACACGAGTCAGTTGGAGAGCATAAGCCCCTTGTTCAGGAAGGGGAAGCTGGCAACAAGCAAGCTAAACCTTACCTTTCTAGCCCCTCAGGAAACTTCTGGACTCCTTTAAACATGAACACATCTCTGTCTCTTCCGATTTGCTGCCTGGGAAGGGCGGTTCTGTGGTGGAATCGTCTGTATGTGAAAAATCATCATCATTATTACTTTTAAAAAAACACACATGCTTCTCATGGAAACAGGCTCCAACTTAATGCTACACAGTGATAACTACCATGTCATGCCTGCCCACTTGACAAATGCATCCAGGATATTTAGGAAAAAATAAGTAATTCCCTTAAGGGGCCATTACTGACTCATCTCCAGAACCCCATTGTCTCTAATCAGTTTAGATTATCAGACTACCCTCCTCAAGATTTTTTAAGCAGCTTTTGGGAGGGTCTCCTACTCCCAGTACCTTCCTGTAACTAAACCAAAACATGTGGGACTGAAAGGATTGCCTCTTCTCCCTTTGTGTACCCTCCTCCTGTTCATTGGTTTTCCCTTGTGCCTATTTTTAGACTATAAGGCCTTTGGGGCAGGAGCCGGTCCTCTTTTCCTTTTGTGTAAAATACCATATACATGCATCCAATGTGTTATATAAATAAATATGTAAGTGTGTAGCCTATGCTAGTTGCACTTAAGCACCATTCATTTCAATAAATCTACTCTAAGAGGGAACTAAGATTGGGTACAATGCACAATATCCCTGATGCTGGTGTTTTTTGCAGGTATAGCATCAAATGCGGTACAAGTTCCCCTTCAGACAGACTCTCCATCCTACTGACAGAAGCCATTCCATCAGAAGCCGGGGATAATTGGATTTAATCTTTACTGTCCCTCTCTTTAAAAAGATTCTACTGGACAGGTGGGACATTACTATGATTAAATCAAATGTACTTAGCAAATCAAATCCAATCTTCTTTGATCAATCCAATCTTAAATATTTTGGAGTACAATGGAATTATTTGATACTGCAGTCAATCAAGCATATTCTTAGTACCAGACAGAATTGCAGTTGATTTGGGCACAATCCAACCAAAGTTATTTACTAGTTGTTTTTTAAAGATGTAACCTTATATCCACTTACTTGGGAGAAATGTAGCTAGCATCAGACATCATGTAGCATTTGTTTATATGAAGACAAGTTACACAGGGGATAATTATTTCTTAGAGCAGCAGGAACCAGACCTCAGGGCACTGCAGAAAACACACGCATAAAACGCTCTTTCCCTTTCTTCCCATAATATTTAGACTGCCCTTTCCCAACCTGCTACCCTCCAGATGTGCTGGGCTACATTATCCCAGGCCAGCTGTGGGAGCAGTGGCCCAATACAGCTGGACGGCAGCAAACCCGGGGAAGCTAATATGCCCAGCCACCCCTTGAGATCGGCGGGGGAGGCCCTTCTCCGGGAACCCTCCATGAAAGAAATTAGGAGGGTAGGTACTCGGAGGAGGGCCTTCTCTGCGGTGGCGCCCAATCTATGGAATGCGCTCCCCAGAGAGGTCCGCCTGGCGCCGTCGTTATTTGTTTTTCAGCGCCAGGCAAAGACCTTTTTATTCAAGCGGCATTTTAACTGTTAACATTATTGGTTTTATCTGGCCAGAGCGGCTTATTTTATACTGTACTGTTGTATTTTAATTTTATATTTATATTTTAATTTATATTATAATTATTTTAATTTATTGATGTGAGCCGCCCCGAGGCTTCGGCGAATGGGGCGGCATAAAAATGTTTTAATAAATAAATAAATAATTTCAGCAAAATATTTCCCTGCCTCATTTTTCCAGTCCTACCTGCCTGCAGTTCAGACAAGGATGGGATAATGCTTGATGATACACAGAAGCATTCCTGAACAACAACAGAAACTTGTTGAATCCCAACAAGCTTCCATACTTCTTCTTTTGATTTTAAACCAAAAAGGAAAAGATTTGGTTTCCACGAACTCAACACTGATATTTTCATTTGAGCAAAACATTTGATGAAAGTACAGAGCCAGATATGACATATCCCATTCATTAAAATAAAACTGAAGGAAATACATTGCTCCTTTCATCTTGATAAGTATCTACTTTGGTGCCAAAAGCCAAGACTGTACTTGCTCTAGAAGCTAAGTAACAGGGCAAATAGTATACTTCACACCTTATCTCAACAAGTCTGTCTTATCTTCCACCCCAATAAACAGGCTGCATTTTATGACATTTTTTACCTCATGGATCTACAAGATGTGCTGCTCCCTTCCTTTTTTTGTGCAGTACGTGGGCACAGTATTTGCCTAAGGGAAATTAAAGCTATGAAAGGCTATGACATTAAACATACTTACTTGGGAAAAAGTTCTGTTGAACCCAATGGGACTTACTTTCAAATAAACACACATAGGATTATATCGCACAACTAATATTTCTTGCAATACATGATCACAGAATCAATGCATTACTGTTTGAAGTAATTCTACCTAAGGGAAAAAGTCCATATTGCTGGTTGGTATTGCAAGCACAGAGTTAGATCTGCTTTCACCTATAACTTTTAATTTTCCTTATATCTGTGCATGCTGTTACAGGCAGTAGAATTCTAAACACACAGCTACTTTTAATATCATGACTTTAGTCTACAGTGATGAAAAATTAAAGCCCTGATTATTTCGTCTTTCAGCAGATAGTGTGTACTGTAGGAAAGTTTTTAAAAATTATCCAGACAATTCAGTTCAAGTCTTCATGAACAAACCACACAACTCCCATAGCATTCAGGGGTTCAGGCTTCACCATAAAGCTCCAGTTCTGAGAGGAACCTGATGTGGCCATTCATGAGTTCAAATTTAAACTTAAGTCTTATCTAGCCCTAGAGCCTGAGACTTAGACCACCTCCCCACCCATTCACATACAACGCACATAACCCCCAAGGATTAATAACCCTGGGTTAAGTAGAAGTAGTGAGCAAAATGTTGAAAGAAAGACAAGCTCTTCCAAGTTAAATTGAACACTGAATCACAATCATTATAATCATCATCACCAAAAGACGCAGAACACTAGCCAACAAATTAAATTTGAAATTAAGTGGTGGGTGGTGTAAAACCCACAATTTTTCATACATTTCTATGCAATAGTGCACACACTTCAAGACAGCCAAACATCCCAACCCTAACTCAAAGCATAACTGGTAACATACAGATTACAAGCTAAGTTGTACAGCAACTTCTATTGGCTAAAGGCCCTATATATCAGTTGTAATTTCCACCAAAATTAAGTCGTATGTGATCTGTTTAACCTACATGTGAGTCCCTATATATACCAGCACTGCATGCAATTCTCAAGGCCTAAAATGTTGCCTACCCATAATATAATGACATAACTCACACATTGATATTGCCTGATTGTTCACACACAATTTACTCTATTCGAAGAAACATGTTCCTGTGAGCAGAAGATGCTTCTTGCTGTGCTGCGTGTTTAAAGAGGGGCCTATTCTGTCCAACACATTGTTTGAGCAGCAGGAAAAATAATGTTTGCCTGCTGTGTATAAAAGCCAGTGGAACTATGACTACTCAGCAGCAGCGCTTGTTCTAACCTGCTTGCATGCTCAATGTTTTTTCACACACAGTTGCCCACAGGCTGATGTTATATGGTCAGCAACATGCCAAAAATAAGAGTGGCTGAACATGGTTACAGTCCACACTGGTGAGGTTATTATACATTTTAAACAGCTCTTTGGGAGTGGGGGTTAGTGTTAGGAAAGCACGACAGAACTCAGGCTCAAGATTACTCAAAGTACACGGACGCTTGATTACTGAAAATGTCAAACAAGCCTTCAAGCAAGAAAAACACCTTCTTGCTTGAAGTATTTTGGAAGCCACTAAGAAGTTCATCCTTAACTGATTATGTACATTGTCCCGTGTCAAAGTAAACTGTTCAGTTAAAAGTGCTTGGAATGGGTGTCAAAACTTGAAACAAATGCTGCAGGATATATATATTAGAACAACAAAATGCCCATCAATATGAATGCTGGAACGTGTATGGAAATAATCCTGTGTATTGCAGAAATCACAGTGTATCTTTTTGTGCCCTATCCATCTGAAAGTGACTGAAAGTCAGGTTAGCAGGCAGGTATTTTCTCCATCACAATATTGTCATCCTGAGCAGAACTTTATTTTCCCCAGCAGTGAACAATATACATTCAGGTTTAAATATGTAGGGAGAAGGGCACCCACGGGTGCTGGAATGGGAGCCAACCCCCCACCTCCTCTATAGGACCTGTCTGTGTAGAATTTAAAACAGGTTTCTCCCTTCTAACTCTTGCCTTGAAATTGCAGTCTATTGACTCTGTTCCAGAGAACTCAGCAGTAAGTGATAAAAACCAGGCCAATAATCTGTTTCTTGATCATACCAGAGCACAGGTGGGCAGACCTGCGTCTGCGGGATCTCCTTTTGCATCAGGCTGCAGTTGGTGATCTTGGGGGTCTTGGCAAAAAAAAAAGGAGATTCTAAGGCAGGCACTTAGAATTAAAGAAGTCTGAGTGCAGGAATTTAAGTACTTAATGAAGCTCTCACACTGTCCACACTAAAACCCACTCCTTATTTATTTATTTATTTATTTATTCGATTTATATCCTGCCTTTTTCCTACAAAGGGCTCAAGGCAGCTTACACCATTCTCCTCCATCTTATCCCCACAACAACAACCCTGTGAGGTAGGTTGGGCTGAGAGTCTGTGACTGGCCCAAAGTGGCCCAGTTGGCTCCATGGCTGAGCGGGGACTAGAACCCAGATCATCTGAGACCCAGTCCCGCACTCTTATCCACTACACCACACTGGCTCTTATTCCCAAGCTGTTTTCATGCCGGCAATGAGTTGAGGAGGGGTAGTTCTTTTGAATCAATTGTGAAACATCTGGGAGTCAGAAATCGTTGCCAAACTACTACAAGACCTATAAATTAAGTCTGTCTACCCCCGTGCTAGATCCTGATGGGGAACTGATACATGTGCATGGCTGTGAGAGAGAGAGAGACTCAAACACACTCCAAGCTACAATGATCCACCATTTACTCAACTGGGGCCTCTGAAAGCCAACAGGGACTGAAAGATCCAACCACACTTCTGAAATGTATCCTGTGCTCAGACTTCAGAAATTGTCCCAGGTGTTGC